GCAGCTTTAATCCAGGCATGAAGTATGAGAGCCAAGACCAGGATCATGGATGGGGAAAAACTGAAACTCATCTCCTTTTCTATGTCAGCAATAGTCTCAGATTGACATTTGTTACGTTATACAAGTTCAAGTTTCCTGCTCTAATTTAGTACGTGATTTAACATCAGCCAGAGCTATTAGCTTACATTTAACAAAAGTAAATATTATCTAACAATATTCTAGCCAGACAGCTAAATCTTTCCTCCTGCCTGGTGTTATCAGCACCTCTAAATTCAGTATCATAATTCAATTTTAATACAGGCTGTCTCCTTCCTTGTTCAGAACATTAATTAGGAATCAGGATAAGACAAGGTATGCAGACCTCAGCTTTTCTCTTCTGATTGGTCATTCTGCCTTAACTCAGTCATTAGTCATGCTTCAGCCAGTTTTAAATGTGCCGATCTTCATTCAGATCAATTTGAATTCATTTAACAAGTTACATCTCTTAAGTAAAGTATCTGATGCTAAACCTCAGAACAAAATCTTTCATAGAGTATTGCCATGACTATGTCCATAACTCAATAAAAGTACATTAAAGCAGCAATAATGTGATTGCATGCTTGGTGTATCACAGCTTAGGATGTAGAAGTCTTTTTTGAAGAAGTTACGTTCCTAAAAGTTAAAAACCCAAAGGTTTCTAGGGAAATGTGAATAGTCTTTTAAAAAAGCAACTGTCTAGTTCCAAAACCTGTTTGTTGGAACGTATAAGTCACCTCTATAACTTAGGGAAGAAAAATGAAATAGATTGGTCAAAGTCATTGGACCCCTTTTGTGCTCTGATCAAACACAGATCTTCAGGTGGAAACTCCTTCACCGGCTTTCTCCACGCTTGGCTCTCACCTCAGTGCATAAAAAGCCAATGAGAGGCTGATACAGTTTGGATATTGTCTCCCCTAAATCTCACGTTGAAATGTAATCCTCAGTGCTGGAAGTGGTGCCTGATGGGAGGTGATGGATCAAGGGACAAATTCCTGACGAATGGTTTAGTACCATCCCCTGGGTGCTGTCCTTGCTATAGCGAATGGTTTCTCTCAACACCTGGTTGTTTAAAAGTGTGTGGCACCCTCCTCAGCTCTCTCTCTTGCTCCTGCTTCACCTTCTACTGTAAGTAAAAGCCCCCTGAGGCCTTCCGAGAAGCAAAGCAGATGCCAGCACCATGCTTGTACAACCTGCAGAACCGTGAGCCAATTAAACCTTTTAAAACAAATGACCCAGTTACAGGTATTTCTTTATAGTCACACGAGAATGACCTAACACAGGGGCCATTTGAAGTTTGCTTAATTATGGACCTGTCTCCATGGGACTATTTAGAACCAAAATGGGTACTTAACTGCAGCACACATGAGCAGAAGAGCTGTGAGGTGTTGGCAATGAAACAGACATGGAATAGCAGGACCATCTTGGCCCAGGAACAGTGCTCAACACAGATACTTAAACACTGGTTAAGGTCCCTCTGATTTCCTTCAGCTACTTCCCAGGACTCTAGACTTAAGCAACTAAGCTAAAAGTGTTGCACACTGCCAAATTTTCTGGAGCTCAGGACATCCCATTGTAAGATGCTGCCAGCCTCAAGTTTCCTGAATTTAAGCCTAAGGCTGTGAAGAGAAGCGCTGGGGGCAGCAAGGGCTGCTGGCCTGATGTGTGATGAGCATCACCTTTTTTCAGCCACTTACTGCATCCTTTCTGATTTTGCCCTGGAGGAGGGGGAAAGGAGAAATCCAGAGCATAAAGTTCTGTTTGGGGAAGATTGGGTCTGTGCAAGATGCTGAAATGTGCAATAGGCAACCCTCCAAGCACCCCAAGAGGGAGCAAGAGCCACAATAGGGGCACAGGGTCAGAAGAAACACTGACAGGGGAGATAGGAGGGTCCCCAAGACAAACATTCCCTGTTTGGTCATGGTTTCATCACAGCTGGCTCTTAGGTAACAACTGAAAGTTCAGTTTAATTTGCATTAAGTAGCCTACTATGTGTCAGGCTCCATGCGAGGGCTGGGACAGGAAGATGAGATGCCGTCATCACCCCTTGAAGAGTCACAGGCTAGCAGGGTACAAGACCCATAAACAGACAATGTCAGTGTCACCCTTGACTCCTACCTGATCCATCAGGAAATCTTCTCAATTCCATCTTCAAACTTCTATTTATTTCTCACCTCTTCTGCCACCTCACCTGAGTCCACGCTGCCATCCTCCTTCACCTGGATGGCAGCAATGGCCTCTTAGCAGATCTTCCTGATTCCATTCTTGCCCACTAAGGGCTCTTCTCAACCCAGTGGGAAAATCTTGACATCCTCCGCATCACAGCCCTCTAGTGGTTTTCCGTCTCACTAAAACCCCAAGTCCTCACAGGAGCCTCAAAGTCCCACGAAGGTCTGGCCGCTGTTTAGTCTCATCCTTGCTTACCCTGCTCCAGACACACTGGTCTCTCCCTGTTCTTAAAAATCCCAGTTGCGCTCTTGCACTAGGGGCCCTGTGCCCCCTGGACCCTCAGTCCCTCCTCACATCTCACCTTCTCAGAGGGGCCACCCCGACCACCCTATTGAAAAGCATCCCTTCTTCCCAGTCCCCTACCCCAACTGCTCCTTCTAGCACTGCCATTCCCGGCCCACCTCCACTTTTAATTTTTTTTCCGTAACACCCATCACCCTCTATTATGCAGTAGAATGTATTATTAATTACATTTATTATTTGTTGTCAGTCTCCCCTTTGTCTATTTTGCTCACTGTTTAATCCCTGGTGACTAGAATAAGCCTGGGGCATAGTAGATATGTAATGAATATTTGTGGAATGAATTAAATGACTAAGAGGCTAAAATGGTGAAGTGTGTAAGGCACTGGACAGGCACAGGGAAGGGGTACTGGGCTCATCGTCCAGGGAAGGCTACAGATTTTTCTTTTTTAGGGCACATTGACATCTAACTGAATACGGAAGGATAAGCAAGAACCAGCTGAAACAGTGCGGGAGGGAACGCTGAGCTATACTAAGAAGTAAAAGAGTCGTGGTTTAGTATGTGTGGTTAGCTGGAGGAGGGGACAGGCCCCTCAGGGTCAAAGACAGTCAAAGAAACACTGGCAACATGCCGGAGTTTCAACTACTCTACATGAAAATATACTCATCAAGTAGGCCATGTTTTGTAAGTCAGTAAAATCCAGATAACAGCAGCCAGTGTTAACGCTCTGTTAAATCAAGGTTAAAAGTACGCTGAGCTGGAAAAACCACCTTCTTGTTGTTTTGTACCCCACACAGCTTCAGTCCAACTTCCTTTTTCATTGTGTTCATCCTCTTAGAGGGCTTCACCGGAGCTTAGGTCAAAAGGAACCCAGAGGTCCTCCTGCAGCTGGAACTGCTGCCCACTGCTGGGGGATTTCCCATTTCCCCCTTCGGTGCTGAGCACATATTGACTCAGGATCCCGGACCACACTTTTCATGCTATTCAAACAAATCAACAGAGTGAGAAGCTAAATAATTTCCTTAATTGAGATCCTGTCCCGAGATTTCATTCTCTCCTTGGCATTGACTTTTCACCTGTCTGTGCCGATTACAAGTTACCAGGGTCAAGAGGACTTGCCTCCCTCCCAGAGCAGACTCACTTGACTGGGGGCGCATTCAGAGCAGTCACAGTACAGAGGGAGAGCAGAGGAGGCTCCAGGGCTGAAAACCAGGGGCCCTTAGCTTCCAGCTTCACAGATGCCTTTAGCTAAAGAACATTTGTTCTCAGTTATCTATCTTTAAAATGAGCTCAAGAACTCAACCTGGTGGTGACTTAGTCACTTACCCTTTCTAAGCCTTAGTCATCAGATACATCAAATTGCATGAATAATACACTGTAGAGAAGTTGTTAGAAATAATATAGTATTTGAAAACACCAACTAAAAGCCTAAATAGGTCAACCTGGTGGTACACATTTTAACAAACTCTTCTCAGTGATATGTCTCCCTGACTTCACCATAAGGCTCAATGAGGTGATTCTGCCCAATAACTCTTTATATAATAAAGAGAACAATCCTACAAGTAACCAAAGCTTTATCAGCAAATTTCCTCTCTTACTAAGAAACTTGAAGATTTTGATAGGAATGAAGCACACACCTAAGGATGAGAAAGGGGCAGGGGAAGAGAAAAAGACAGAGGAGGCAGATACAATTCAATACAAATCATTGACAAGGCATTGAGTTAGGTGTTGAAACAGAGCACGAGGATGAGTTCGCCAAAGGCAACCTCCTACATTACCGCTTTCCATGGAGCTTGACACAAAAATAATCTCAAGGTCACTCGGAACAAGGATGACATGAGGAGAACATGAAATAATGACAAGGACCGCAGCAACTACTGCAGTAAAAGTGAACTCATTATGGTCTGGACAGGATGAAAAGTGCTTCATATGCATCAGCTCATTTGCCCTCACAGGAATTAGGTACTATTCATCCCCATTTTACAGGAGAAGTAAATAAAGTTGAGAGGCTTGAAAGTTTTCTTACGAAAGCCACTCCGTCAGACAGTTTTCTTACCATGACTAGCAAGAGGCAGAGGTAGAACGCGCCTCCTCCATCTGACTCTCCAGCTGCACTAAATCAACATGATAAATGAGTGGAATCATCTGCTGTGGTCAGAAGCAGCTTCCATCTGTTTGGTCCTGATTGTCTAAGTCCGTGTTTACTTGTTTCCATGTGACTTCGATTAACATTGAGGTTATTAGCCTGGTGCTTAGAAACCTAATGTTGACTGAACAATTCTAGTTTCCCCACAGACAGGGGAACGGCTTTCTTCCTCAAACAGATGCAATCTCGTCCCAAAAGAAAGGCTAAAACAGCTCAGTTTTAGCCAGCATTTTTCCGAGTTGAGGTTTCCTCTTGCATTCATTTGTCTTAAATTTCTTAAAAACAAACTCTCTGGAAGACACTGTTTCTGGGGCCTAGGGAGGCAGTCGGGCAGCTGCCCACGTGGAGATTACGTTACTCATTACTTACCATGGTGCCAGTGTATTCTTCCAGCTTAGCCTCAGAAATGGCCTTTTTGTGGTGAAGGAAGAGGTCTCGGAGGAAGTTCTGTTGCGCCAAGAGAAGAGTCAAATAAACTGAGCAAATAAACTGCAAAATTTTAAAAGGCCTTAATTCAAGAATTGTGGGTTGTTTCCAGGAGGAAATAAAATGCTTTTAGCAAGCAACAAATCCAAGAATGGAGGGCTGTCACTATTTGTAGGGAGCTCATGGGACCCAGGGAATAGCTACAGCATGAAAAAGGTATCATAAATGCTCAAATATGCTTCTTTTCCAGAACGACCAATGTGACTTTCACTTTCTAAACCCTTTAAAAATGAATAGATATATACACACATATATGTATATATGTATTTTTTGAGTAACACATTCAAATACATCTTTCTTGGGCTCACAGAAATCAAACTCATGATACACACATATCAAATTCCCAATGATGAACAAGCCCACCTTCTCCCAGTGACACTTACGCAGAGCTCAGTAGCTGATATAAAGCCGCTGCTGTCAGCATCATATTTGCGCCAAATCTGAAATACACAAAATTCATTCATTTATCCTCAGATAACTTAGAATAATTATGTGGTATCTACTACAGTTCAGCATCTGAAAACACTACTTAAGTGAATGGAAATTCCATGTTTAATGGGAAGCTTTAGGCTTTCTTTGGTGACAGCAATTTTGGGGCAGAATTCATCAGAAATGGATCACTGCATTCACTTGGAGCCACTTAAGGAGGGCCACAATGCTTTCAATAAAAGCCCACTGAATGGACTTTCATTGAAAGGGTCCTTTGGAAAGCTCAAAATGGAAAGATAAAAAGGGATGAACTTTAATTTGGGTCAATATGACAAACTAAAAAACCTCCTCAGTACTAAATACCTAAAAAAGCAGCAATATGAAAATATTGCAGCAATGTAAAACATTGCTGTGAAAATAACCTTTTAATTATATGGCTTAGATCACAAAAAAGTGAAAGGACTTCTAAGAGAACCAACAGGAGAGGAAAGCACAGACTTAGAGTGGTAACATAGGACCAAAACCAAAGCCTGTCCCCAGTATGTCTGCTGGTCCCTGCAGTTTTATGAGAAATCTTCACCTGTGGTCTACAGGCAATGTCACGGGACCCACACAGGTGGAAATCAGATTGAGGTGCCTGCTTTAAACTAAAGCTTCAAAACTAAAACCTTAATGAAAGATGAACTGGAAAAAATTACACTGCAGTGAAGTCCCCTAAGAAATCTTGCCTGCGTGGTCTCGCCTCTGATGGAGGGGTAAAGTAACTCTGATAATTCCCAGTTAAAAGCTACTCCTCTCATTAGTGTGAGGATGCAGTTACTGAGCTGGAAGACAGAACAGCTGAAAATCTTTGAGGAAAGCAATGAACAGCTTTCTTTAATAAATGCTGTTACACTCCCCACTTCTGATTATTCCATGAAGAAGCCTCACATCAATTGACAAGCTACCCCACTCTTGTACAAAGTAAAAGGTTAGACTAAGTTTTGTTTTTTCTCATTGACAGATTTTTCTTGGATCCGAAATGGGTTGCCCATGTTCTGTGTTACCACCTGCAGGAACCTTAATGATTAACCACAATCAGCATCCGGAGTTCAGACTCCGCAGGGATAGTAGGAGGTATTGATGCTAGTGCTGTGTCGACACCGATACTGACCTTTAGTGACAACAATTCAGAAACATCACTCCTTTCAGACCCTGTCATTTATGTCTGAATTTAGTCCAATTCACAAAATCGATGAATTAAATGTGATTTATATTCTTTTATCATGTGAATATGCCAAAACTTTGAGAATTTCAAATAATTTTGACAATTTTTTGAATGCTTTTTAAATGCCGTTCACCAAGCAATTTCCATTTAAATTATCACGTAGTTTTACTACAGCTGAGCCATTGGAGAGCCAAAGATTTTTATTCAGCAAGACTATCTTTAAAGAATAAAGACAAAGGAGAGACATTTCCACACAAACAGAAGCGGAGTTTATCACCAGCAGACCCTCAGTAAAAGATATACTCTCGGAAGAAGAAGAAACAGGAAGAAGGAAATCTAAGACATACAAAAAGGAATGGTGAACAAAGACAGTGGTAGCAATGTGACATGTCATGACACATGGGCAAATTGAAACAAATCTTGACTGCATAATAATTGTGGGGTTAAAGAAAACAAGATAAAACTAATATCCTACACAGTAATGGCACATGAGCTGGTAGATGTGGGCTAAGAGTTATGGTGTGTTAAGATCCTGTGAAAAAGTAAAAGTCATTAACTTAGTAAAGACATTAACTTAGAATTCCTTAAAATATATCAGATAAAGCCTGGGCACGGTGGCTCATGCCTGTAATCCCAGCACTTTGGGAGGCTGAGGTGGGCAGATCACTAGGTCAGGAGTTTGAGACCCACCTAGCCAACATAATGAAAGCCCGTCTCTACTAAAAATACAAAAATTAGCCAGGCATGGTAGCAGGTGCCTGTAGCCCCAACTACTCGAGAGGCTGAGGCAGGAGAATTGCTTGACATCAGGAGGCGGAGGTTGCAGTGAGCTGAGATCCTGCCACTGCACTCCAGCCTGGGCAACAGAGTGAGACTCTGTCTCAAAATATATATACATATATATATATATATTTTAATATATATATATTTTGTTTCTTAACATTGTATTGCATTTCCTTCATGTCATATATATATATATATGAGACATGTATAATGGGATATATATATCATATATATATCAGATATAATGGGATACAAGACAGTTAATCTTAAAAAATGAATTCAAGAATTCACAATGATAGTTCTAAAAAATGGGTAGAGAAAGGGAAAGCTCTTATTTATAGATAAAGTTGACAAACTAGAAAGGTCCAAAAGTGGAATTTAAAAAAAAAAAAAAAGAAGCCTCCATAGGGCCATGTGCTTTCCCCAGTTCTCAAGATTACTCAAGACTACACAAGGTCTAACATTTTAATACTTTTTTCTATATTCATGATTTTTTTTCTGAAATTATGTTCACTGTACAAAAGTAATGAAATACAAACAAAATTTATACTGTCCACAAATCCCTGTCCTGAGATAGTTACTTATTATTTCTACGTGTTTCATTTCTATCATGTTTCTATAACATATGTTAAAAAACAGAATTGGGGATCATATTGTCTAGACACTCGGGCATCTATTATTTTTATTAAAAATGTTATCTGTTTGTAAACACAATTAGAATCATTTTGAAAATGTCATTTAAAATAAATTTTAAATAATTATGACTATATACAAAACCAGAAAATACAAAAGTACAAAGAATAACATCGCCTTACATCCTACCACTTACAAACAGCCAATATTTATTTGTGTACACTTACCTATTATCTCATTTATTCAGGCTTTAAAGTAAATAATTTTTTGAACAAAAAACAAATTCCATATACACTTTTGTTTCTTAACATTGTATTACATTTCCTTCATGTCATTAAATATTTTTTGAAAACTTGATCTTCAGTGATACAAAATATTCAATACTGGGGTTTTCTCTAATGAATCTGTAGCATCTTGCATATTACAGTGCTCATAAGAATTTGTAGAATGAATGAATTATATGAATATATCACAACTTACCTAACTTTTCCATTATTGTTAGATATTGATGTTATTTTCAGTTTGAACTATAAGTAACACTGCAACATTACATAAATATTATTGTACAGAAAACTTTTGTCTGCATCTCTGATTATAATCATATATTAGATGCCTGAAAAGTAGAATTATTAGTCAAAGGACAAAGTTTTTTTTTTTTTTATAATTAACTCTCAGTAATGAAATTTTAAAGGAGCCTGATTGAATTTTTATAAAATTGCTTTTCATAAAATTATTCCACAAGGTCCTTGAAAGCACTGTAAATTTTTGTGAATTTTCTTAAAATCTTTGCCACTTTGCTTAAAAAAATTATTGTCTTGATTTCCATTTCTTGAGTTACTGGCGTAAATTCATGGTCCATTCAGGGTTCATTCAGAATTTCTTCTGTGAATTGCCTATACATGTGCTTGCCCAATTTAACATGAAGGTAAACAAAATAGTGCAAAAGGATAATAACTTACCTCCTAAATGGGGACATGGTAACTCTTTCTAATGGGGGTCCCTGGTTGCAGTGGATATCTTGAATCTGCTGCTCTGAACCTTGGAGAAACCCTGATCTGTCCTTCCCTGGTTGTTTTTCACCAACAGAGCAGTAACACTGAGAGGCTGTGGGATGGGGTACCCAGCGGGAAAGTGGTAAGGGAGCCCATTGATTCTGCCTTTAACTTTTACTCTGCATGATTATAAGCAGAAGGCCCGTTGACTGGACTGGCACTTTAATAAATTATGTTTTCACTGTATCATCATGTCTTCAAACCTAAAATTGGTCGCCACTATTTTCTAGAGTCTAGATTCTAGACAGCATTCTCAAAAGGCTTCAGATGGGCACATGCTCTCCAGTTCCCATAGTCCGTCACCTGCCTCCTTCTCCATTCTTCAGTGGACCTGCTTGGCCTGTTGTCTAAAGTTTCCTCCAGCCCAAGCTAAAGGAGCCTGTCAACTCAGGAGCACCCCAGGGGTTTGGGAGCAAAGTCCTGGCTCATCACTAAGGCCTTTTTAGATTGATCCTATCCTCTGTGCTCAGCTCTCCCATGAGCACTGGGCGGGAGTGGTGGCAGCCACAGTAGGTGGCTAAGATCATAGTCTTGTCTCAAGCCTCTTTCTCCAAAGAGACACAACCAAGCACTCACCTGCATAAACTCCACACTGCTGTCCAGTGGGGTTTCCCGGCGAAAGAACAGAAGAAAGTTTTCATCCTCAGATAAGAACATACCAGCAAGCTAAAGGAACAGGAAGAATAGCAGTCAGGGACCCTGGCCAATGTCCATGTGAAGAGGGCTCCCTGGTAAAAGGCATGGTGGTACATATTCCAGGGCAGGAGGGCTCAGATCTTCCAGGATGAACAGCTCAGTCGGCAGTTCTGTGCTCGTGATTGTCATTATTTGATTCATTGATTCTTTCAGAAAGTATCACACTCCTGTTAAGTATAAATCACTATGGATATCTGCCTTCCATGAGCTTATAATCTAAAATAAGGATGACTATAACATTAATATCAATAATAAATTTGTTAAGTGCTTGATATGTTCCAGGCACTATTCTAAGAACTTCCAATTCTAAAGTAATTTAATTCCATAATAACAGAACATAAAAATAGCAAATAAGCCTTATATGTGCCAGGCATTGCTCTAAATGCGTATGTATGCTAATTCATTTAATCCTAATAACAATCTGTAGGGTACACAACGTACCATTACTATTATTTTCTAGTTGAGGAAGCGGCTATACAGAGATAAGGAAATTGCCAAAGTTGCATAATCAGTATCTGATGAAGTATTTCACCTTGGCAATCTCAAGCCCACACTTTTAATCACTATGCTTTGCTGGTGAGATGCTGTATATATACAGTACTTCAGTGCAGGAGCCGGAATGACTGCTGTCTGACTTGATGCTTAAGTGTTAGCTGTGGTTTATATTCTTTTACATTATCAGTGTCTATAAGATGCTACAATAGTCGACTCAAGTATGATAAATTCAGCCAGTCAGCTTTTTGTACGAGCACCAGTTTGACCGTTTTACTTCATGCACTCTTTTGAACAAAGGCGTAATAACATCTTGTTCCCCTATGTAGTAATAAGACTATTTACAGCACATATGCAGGTTTGGCTGCGTCCATTGCCAAACCTAGAGTATTGTAGTGTATGTTGTCTTCTTTCTGAGCTGTCCCCATAAACAACGGTCATTTCATCTATAACTGAGTAGTTTGCTCAGTGTCTTGTACAATACCACCGAGTGAGTCCACAGCAAATGCTCCTGGGGGGCTTTAGGTGTGATTAGCTCACATTATCATTCACAGTTTCTACTGGATATGAGTCAGCACAAGGACACATCATGTTAACAATAACTGTCAGATTCTGAATACCTACTACATGGCAGGTACCAGCAAGGCGCTTTTCATTCATCACCTCATTAAATCCTCACCACCAAGTTTTTAGGATGAATATAAATATCCCCTTTTATCAATGGGAGGCAGTGCAGTGCAATGCATAAGTGATAGGCTTTATAGTGAAATTAAATTTCTTCTCCATTGCTTACTAATTATTTGATCCTGGGTAATTTAGTTCATATATCTGTGCCTCAGTTTTCTCATTTGGAAAATGGAGACAATGATCTTGATATTCTAGTACTGATGAGAAGACTAAAGAGCAAAATGAGCCAGTATTTATAAACTGTTTAGGAAAATACTGGGTACATATCAAATAGTCAATAATTGATAACTGCCATCTTGGTGAAGATGATAAAATTGAGGCCCAGAGAAATTACGTAATTTGCCCAAAGTTTCATATTCCACCATATTGGCTTCATGCTTTTCGCATCAACCCACACAGGGTCACCTGGAACTAGGAAATGCTCTTTGAGACTAAGGGTGGCCTTTTATCCAACTTATTTTTTACTAGAAAATTCAACATGAGTCAAAGTGGCTGATTTTTATGTCACAACTACCGTTACTGGAGTAAGTGAAATGGTCAACAGTACAGCAAGAGAATGCAGGGAAACAGCAGGCCTTGCTGCTCCCTGGACTCACAGACTCTTACGACTTGAAGGAGCCTTGGGAACAGTGCAGTCTTGCACCATCAGTCTGTGCAAACAACCTCAATGACACTCATGAGCAGGATTACATGATCAAATGTTTGGCCGATTACTCGGGAATGTCTATCTGTTATTAATAAGATAATGACATAGTTTTCAGTTATTTGCTCTGTTTTGCTCACTCATTAAATAGGTTAAGAAACACTGAGCACTAGTATGTGCCATGCTCTGTTCCAGGGTCTGGAGAATTACAACAGTGAACGTGTGGTTTAGGGCACCTAATTTGCTGTTTGCCCACTCACTATTCTGTTGATGCATACGTTGATAGTTTTACATCCATTTTAATGAGAATTTTTGGTTACATATACAATTTTTGCCTTTGATTAAAAGTTTGGAAACATCTGCATTCATAAACCTAGAGTTGAGTTTATTAGTTTTCTGAAAAGGCAGTCTCCTGCTGAACATGTCCACCTTTTATAAAGGAACATTATCTTGCCCTATTAACACAACTTCCTGAAGAAATTGCCCTATTACTTTCTTCAATAATATTGACTGCTCAAACATGGCAATGTCACAGCATCAAGACACTGGCTCTCTCAGTGTCACGTAATATGTCTCACAGGCAATTTTGACTGAAAAAATACCTTTGTTGCAGATTGGCTCATTTTCACATACAGATGTATAGCTACCTGGTATGAACCCGCACAGATTCATAAGCAGGGTTCCACTCAAACAATTGCCCCTTACTTGGTCACGTTATTCTAGGAAAGTAACTCAAGTCCCTATCAGCAAAATGGGGATAATATTCCACGCCTATCATCATCTTAGCTACTATGGGAATATAATAACAAAATATATGTGGAAAGCCTTTCTAAACTGTAAACATTTTTGTAACTGGAAGGAGAAATAATCAGGTAGGTTGTACACCATCCACAGCCCTGCACGCATAGCACAGTTACTTGCTTTAGTACATGCTCCATTAAAGTGGGTTAAGTTGAAGTAAAGACAGTTGTCTTCTGTTGTGTATAGATCCTAGGAATAGATTTTTCCAACCTCTACTGAGAGCTGATACTGAAGTTTAACCTTATTTATAATCAGTAAGTTTTTCCTTATATCAATGTTCAATTTGAACAGGATGCTGTATAAAGAGATGAATGGTGGGTCAATTGAAAGGCCTCTATCATTTCAATTCCCCAATTATAAAATAGGCACAAATATTGATTGACCTAAATAAAATGATGAAAGAATTACACCCTCTTTATTACTAAGTAGATGAAAAAGGAGAGGTGATTACTTTTAAAATGTTAACTAGGCCAACTGTCTTGCAGAAAGTTCTAATTTCCCAATCGAGTGTAAAGCTTCCATTGTCTTTCAAAGAATATCACAGCCCAAGATGACAAAGTAAAGAAAAAAACAGTCAAGAAACGTAGAGTCATGAAAGATACAGTCATGAAAGGTACCTCTTTCATCTGAATACGACCATCTTTAGAGGCATCTTGGGTGGTCCTAAATTGCTGTTTCACCTTGTACACAGTTGCTTCCACGACTGTGTCCTGTGATGGATGAAACAAAGCCATATTAAAGCCACTGGGATCTTAAACATATAGTTAGGGTGGCAAATATTCAAAACACACAGCCTGATCATTATGTTATTCAAACCCGGAAAACAGGTTTCCTGACCATTTAAAGTCATTTTACTCTTTTGTAGAAGAGAGAACAACGCTGGAGATTTCTTGAGCAACCAAGCACTAATCAGAATCTTTTTTTTTTTTTTTTAATCAGAATCTTGACTAGGTACAATTCACAGTTAATGAGTTACTAAAATATTGAAGAAAAGAAGCTTAGAGACTAGGGTGCTGAAAGAACAAATTTGAACAGTATTATGTTTATGACAAAAGACTGTATTGTAATTACAGATTTTCTTCCCAAGAGCTTAGAGGTTTTACATCTTTTAACTGAAAAGTCCAGCTCGTCTGGGCCCCAGGTGCCTGTAACTCATTTTTAATCTTCTTTTGTATTCTCCAAGGAAAAAAATAATGAGAAGGCAGAAATAATTAAAAAGAAGACCAAAGTAATAAAGTAATTGCTGAGTTAACCACAGATGTTACAACTCCCTTCTATGTATAGCCTTTTCTAAACGTGAAATTGTCTTCTTTGGTGGATTTCAGGGTTACTACAGTAAAAGTTATCTATGTAACCAACAATAAAGAATGAATTCTGATGCAAGGGTTGAGAAGCATAGATAATCCCAAACAGTGCCCAATTCTAAGATTCTAGACTTGCTGAAATTTATGCTAAATTCATTCTCCCTAATACAATCACGCTATCTCTGGTCCCAAGCTCTCCAGCTGTGAGTTAGGAGGGCTGAGAAGAGGTGATCCTGTTGACTCACTACCCTCCCTGTTGGTGTTGGGGGTGGAGGTGACAGCCTCCAGGACATGTTCTGGATGCATCATCCATGCACACACGTGCAGGACAGTTCTCTGGGTGGCCTTAGGCTGACTCAGCTCTTCTGCCTTTCTCACTTGTATTTCTCAAGAATAACCCCTGCATATGCTGGGAATGCAACATCCTAAGTTAAAGAAGAACTTGCCAGAACAACCTAGGCTCAAGATGTCCCAAAACACTTTAGCCAAGCACAGCATGTTGCCTTCAGGTACAAAACCCAGAAAAGACTGCTTTCTATCAAGCACCTACCACACGCCAAACACAATTCTGGCCCCTGGTGATATTATAGTCAGCAAAAGAGACCTGGTCTTTGCCCTGCATCACAGGCTGACGGAAGACATGTTTGTCAAGCCTTCCTTTCCATTGGCACCTCTCCCTAATGGGTTACAAAAACGTCAGGAGGTGATGGAAAGAGAATTGTGGTGGAAAATTAACATCTGCCGTGTCCAATTCACAAGAATAGGAAAGAAGACCAGGTGAATAAACATTTCTGGAGTGCCAGTCAGAGGATGGGCACTAAGCCACACTCTTTAATAAATGTTATCTCCCTGGATCGTCACAATGGCCCTGGGAGACACAAAAAAATTTACTACAACCTTCAGCCCCTGGCTTCTTTGCTGGCCTGCTAGCTTCTCCCTCTTTGGGGAACTTGTGTGTGTGTGTGTGTGTGTGTGTGTGTGTGTTCCAGCTTCTTACATGGAAATTCTTTTTTATTATTTTCCCATCACTGGCTGAGAAAATGTGTCTGTTTTTTGTAGTCTTGACTTGGAGGGGCTGTCAATCCTCACCCTTTCCCATTAGGCTGTCATCTCTTCAGCTGACCTTTTGCATATGGTAAAGAACTTGCCAGAACAACCCAGGCTCTGTTTTAGTCCCTCCTAGAACAAAATGTCCTAAAACACTTTACCCTGGCACAACATGTTGCTGTCATGCATAAAACCCAGCGAAGATGCATATGGCAAATGTTTTCCAGGGAGCAGGAAATCTAGTAGAAGAGTTATACAAACTTTTCACCTTTCAGATCTTAACATATGAAAAGACTAATACTCAAATTTATGATAATTGTATCCATTGATGCTCTATAAATCAAAATATATGATTCCTTCAGCTTAGTCTTTGTGATTTAGAAGAAAGAGAGTAAAGGGAAAAAAATCAGAGGACGTTTGACACTCTTCTCTAAGAATCTGAGACACTGCCCCTTCATTTTGCTTATGAGAAAACAGGCCAGAAGGGCGATGCAGCAGAATACTGACAGAACATTCTTGAAACCAGCACATTTGATACGTGGTCTAGTGCACTTTCCAGCACACCATGTTGTTGCTTGGGATGAGGCGGAGAGCACCTAGTGGAGTCACTGCATTCCAACATCAAGCTGTTAATAAATGAGAAATGGTTCAAACAAAATGAAGGATTCCTTGGTGACTTGCTTTGGGATTTTTCAGGATAGATTCTGGCAACTAGTTAGAGAACCAGATGCTTTAAATATTGTAAGACCCAGAAGGTTTGAAAACCTATTCTTAGAAAGCCAGGGAACACCTTGGTCAGCAAGAACAATTTTAACACTAGCGGAGTTCCTGGCCATTATTGCTAGATCTCAGCCCCTGACATTGGTATCTGTCTCACTAACTCATTGCAGGAGGTGGGTGTATAGCAATTGTTTGATGTCAGGTTATAATAGTGAGGTAGAAAAGATGCTGTGAGCTCAGATTATTTAAGATATCAGATCTTCTAATATCAGATTCTCTAAACTTCCAGGACTGGTGTGGATATTGGAAATAAAGGGAACTGCCAAGTTTCATGTCAGTCAGCAGTTTGCCTCTTCCCTGTTCAATCATACACAAACTTTTGTCAGCAAGTAAAAGATAGAATTGTACTTCCTTTTTAAAATTTTTTTCATTTGTAGCCTTTTGCTGCAGGGGATGATAGATGAAATGCATGCAACAGAAAGAGGTTAATGAATTAATGGCTTGTAGAGATCACAAATGGATAATAAATAATGAGGAATAAACTTTATTTGAAACAAATTGCAGTGAAGGTGAGTCTCTTTGCAAAAAAGTGTTATATGAATAAGAACTAAAAAATTAGCATCTATATGTATAGCTAGTTTTTTAAATTGTCAGCCCAAACCACTAGCACTTATGATTGAGATGATGTAGAATCAAATATATCTGTGTATCCTAGCAATCTCAAGGTCATCTGCTGTATCTATGGCTTCAGTACTGTATTTAGAAACCCCAAATGATTAAAATAAGAGGGCTTGGACAGTTTGTAAACATCAACGAAACATATTCATTTGGTGATCATAAATGGGGAGCAGCGGAGGGCCTGGTCAAAAATAATAATAATGAATACCTTCCTAAATGAACACACACCAGACTAAAAATATGAAAAAATGACATTAGTCATTCGGAACGAACGCTTCAAGTAAAGAAATGAGAGGCAATGCCTGTATCATGTGCCTAAGACAGAGCAAGTGTAACAGGTCCCTGAGGCGACAGTCTGTCTGTTGTCTTCTGTCTTCCTTTGAGTAGTCTCCTTTACTCCTGAAGGACCAAAGGGTGGTGGTGGGTATGACTTAAGACATCCTCCAAAGGCTACCCTGGCTTGGGAAGCTTGCTTTCATAAACTGGAAATCATATATATATATATATATATATATATATATATATATATATATATAATTTATATATATATGATCTCTCTCTCTCTCTCTCTCTATATATATATATATACACACACATACATATATATATACACATATATACATATATACATACGTATATATGTATATAAATACACATATATGATCTTAAAAGCATTTCAGTGTTTAAGAGAGTAAGCTTCAATGATCCTGTGTGGGGTAACCCCTTGGATCTGAGGCAAAGCGGGGCTCAGAATAAACACTGGGAAAGCTAAGAAGATACTGCATCACCATAAGAACATGCATGTTGGGCGTTTTTGCAACTAATAGTGCCTGTCACTTGTGTTATCTTATTGGTTTTCACTCTGAAACAGGCAGGCCAAAACATTTTAATAATAATTATTATTATTTTATGGATGGGAAAACTAAGACCCAGGAGGTTTAAATGGCATGTTGCTATCACACAGCTACAGGTGCAGAGCCGGGGAATGAGCATGGGATTTCCACCTCCACACATAGCTGTCTTTCCCCTCATCATGAGCCTTCTTTGGGGTGGGCCTTCAGAGACAAGAGGTACATTTTTTAATTCTCTGTGGAAGGTGAACAGGTTCTCTGAGACTCCAAGATCTTCTGTCAACCAGGTTTCCTCATGTGACACCCCACTCATCGTGGTGGGATTAACCTATGTATTCTCAGCACCATAGATTTTGCGTGTGTTTACATTTGAGTGTTCATGTACCACACTGAAAAACCACAACGGAAATCACTCAACAGGGTTGAACTTCACTTTGCATTTCAGCCTGATCTTTTAGATTAAGAATTCTGCAAGTACTGCATTCATTTCTTTATCTCTGGAACATAGGATCTGTTGGATGAATAAATGATTCTTTATGATGGGCTGGGCATTCCCAAAGGAAGTTAATTAACATAGGTCATGTTGGTGATAAATTAGATATTAAAGTAAATAAATGTGAAGCCAAAGAAGCAGTGGCCAGATTCTACATTACCTTTAGTTTGAGAGCACAGAATCTTGGCTTCTGTCCTCTCAGAGCCCCAACCCCAAAGCCCATGACTATCCCTTAGACCCAAAGCAAAAGAAACTGGGGCTTCCTCTGTTGTAATTTACCATCAGCCCTTATCTAAGACTCTAGGCTCCAGCAGGATACCTCTAATCCCTAAAGTATTGAAAGAGACCCATGATGTGGTGCAGTCTGTACATGAGGGGTATGAGCACATAGAATCTGATGCTCAGCCATGGACTGGCATTTGAAAAGAAAAGGTTTGCAGGGAGAAACAGAAACAGCAGCAATTACAGCTGATGGTTCCATTAAGTCAATCCCCTCGGAGGCTCTGAGGACCAGCTAATTACAACTAGGCTGGTTGCTCTCCTGGATAGACTCACAGGCAGCTTGCTGTTAGAAACCTCAAAATACCTTCTTCTGAGATTTCTGTGACCCACTAATCAGCAGAGGGAAGCAAAGCAATTCATGCCTCTGAAGGATGGCTTACTTCTGCTGAACACCAGAGTGAGGGGCTGCCTGATTGTGGAGGCCTCCCTGCTGCTGGATTCTGTGCTCACTGGGCATTAGCAATCAAAAGCAGGTGTCACAATCAAATGGTGACTGTCCCTCAGCTGAAGGGGCTTCCTCTTTGGAAGTTCTGCCCTATTGTTAAGAACTTGCTAAAGGCCTACTTATTACTCACCAGGGAGAAAGCCCAAAATTAGGAATAGTTTCCTTAATCATGGTTGTCCAGGTAGCATGGAGGGCCCAGTGAAGGTCCCTCCAAACACACTCCCCAGAGTAATGTCTCAGCATTTTGAAAGGCAACCAATGGCAGATGATATCATTTCTGGTTAAGAGTTCAAACGTATTGCTCTGGCTCGAAAAGCTTTCTCCCCACCCAAGTGCTCATGAGATGTGCCTGGGACTGTTGCCACAGCTCAGTGGGGCTGGCCTAATTGTATGAGAAGCCCCTCTCCAACAGTCACTGTTTCTGGAGATAAAGAGGGTAAAAAGACATGCAATCTGACTTTGAGTGCTTTTCAAATAAAAGATCCTTGACACACCTCAAATGTACTTAAATACCTACAGGATGAGACCTAGGGGTCTGCATTTTAACAAATAAATATAATTCTCAGGCACACAGAAATCTGATTTGCACTATGTTAAGGATTCTGAGACCTATCAACCCCTTCTCCAGCCTCAGAGACATTTGCACTGAATGCAGTTGTAGTGAGTCATTTGTTGCCCCCTTTCCCCAAAGATTATGCCTGCCCCTGTCTAAGAGGGTTAGTCCATGGACCAGATCTGAGATAGGAACAGTAATAAAAACAGCCAGGCTGCAAGAGATGACATCCCTCTTTGCTCTCACAGTGGCAACAATGCCTCTAAGAGTAGCCAAGACCTCCGATGAAGATACCTCACAGCATCCTCAGCTTAGAGCAGACTCCAACTTGATGAATGAAAATTAGATACTCCAGTTTCAACACTGAAAACAATTTTTCTCCTCCCTTTCATAAATCACTAGAGCAAGGAGCCCTCTGAAAAGGTAAGAAGTTCCAGGTCCCTGGGGATAGATTTTTAGGAGTTGGCCATCCCATTTATTCCAAGATTTTGAATGGTTTTACTGTCTTCTTTTTGCTTTCCTCAAATACCCCTGTCCATGGTAGGTAGGGTGGATTCCTGGAACATGATGGGCCTTAGTATTTACAGACATAAGTGGAAGCCGTGTGGACAAGGCTAGTGGGATTCACCACAGCCTGCTGGCATGTGAAACTGGCTGGCAAGATTGAAGGAGAAGCCTCACTTGGGGGATGCCTCCTCAGCTCTACCTGAAGCTTATATAAGTACAAGAATGGAGGACAAAGAAAAGTGTGTGCAAGTGATCTGACCAGATGTCCCTGTGACCAGAGGAAAGAAGGAGCTCATGTCTCCATCCTTCTCATCTGCTGATCCTTTCACTTCACAGGCTGCATAGGGTAAGGGGTGGAGTGCAGGCAGACAAAGAGCAATAAAAGGTACAGAAAAGGGGAGATAAGAGACAAAGAAATGGGTAAAGGAGAAAATGATAAGAAAAGAAATGAAGGGCAGGAAGAGAGATTGGAAAGAAAGAAAAGATAAATAAAAGACATGAGGAGAGGAGAGACCAAAAGAGCTTTGAGAATCAGAGAGACTGGAAAAAGTAGGAGGAAAGAAAGAGACAGAGAGATGGAGAAACAAATGAGAAATAGAGATAAGAAAGAGACAAGAGAGATGAGAGACAGAGAGGTCAGAGAGGAAGGCAGCAGACAATGGGAGAAGAGAGCCATGAAACAGAGATGAGAAAGAGAAGTGAGCAGAAAAATGACAGACACAGACATAAAAGAGAGAGAGAGACAGAATATGAGAGGCAGACAGAAATAGAGAGAGACCAAGAGATGTGTGTGGCTGAAGGAGGCAGATGCCAGCCCCTTTGTTTCTGAAATGGCTTCCCCTGCCCACCCATACCCTTCCTGGGTTCTCAACAATGGTGAAGAGCTCCTCATTCTCTCACTGAGCTCTCCGTGAGAATGTGATGCATTTCTATTCTGCTAGATAAACAGCTGATGGATAAGGACAAACTAGCCCCATAATTCATTTAAATTCAATTGTCCTTAGAGCTTCTCCTTCTACTATGCATGCCCTACTGGAGCTTTCACCAGATGTAGCCCATCCCCAGGCTGGCCTTCACTCAGGTGTCTCTGTGTAAAATTTTTCTCTGCTTTGGTACAAAGACTCTCAAGAACTCATTTATATCTCCCAAGGCCAGATTTACCATCAGATGGACACGAGATAGATTGGCTTCCATTTATATCTGGGCTCTGGGTATGCTGGTTGTTTTCTGTTTTGTCATTCTCTGAAAAATCTGTAACCTCTTGTAATAAAATGAATAACGGGGAAATTATTTTAAATGATGTATTTGCAGTTTGCTATCAGAGGCGTGTCACACACATTAAACAGCCAGAACATTAATGTACTTAACATCTTTTCCAGCTTTTTGAACAAAGTAGTCTACTTTATCCCCAGGTATAAATCAATTAGCAGAGATATAACCAAGGAGACATTCAAAACCAAGTTAACTGATTCTACAGTTAAGATCTCTGAGTGGATGACAGATGTTACACTGAAGGCCAGTGACCAGCATGTCTAATGCTACAGTTCACCTTTTATAAAACATACCTAAATCTTTCCATGTTGCTAGGAGAGGGAGAGAAGTTACACACATGCAAGGAAGAAAAGCGGCCAGATGGAATTAATAGGTACAAATCAACTAGGACTTGGATGCATGTATCTTACTAAGAGGCATACATTAAGCCTTAGTGTGTAAGTACTTACATCAGTACCCAGTTTCATCAACACGTGGAGAAAGAAAGCATCAAGTTCCTTCTCTTCTATGTAACCTTTTTCTAAATGCAAGAAAATAAACATAAATAATAGTAACATATAAAATAACATGACAGTATTTATCTAAGTATCCTTTTGATCTTACAATTTATAAAGCCTCCATCGACACTATTCTTTGTCATTCCAATAACAAAGTGCCTACACCTGCCTCTAGGAGACATGGGTTTGAGCAGTAAACACTGTTCCAGAGTAAGTGCCTTAATGCTGGGGTTTATATTAGTATTTGGAAAAGGAAGGCTGTTAAGCACATGAATTTTAACCAAAGAATAAATATGAACTTTACAATAAAATTTAACCCAAGGATTTCTGAAGCTTGGAGAAACTAAACAGGTGTAAGTATTGAACTTCAGTTAGCAGGGTTAGAATACACCTTTTGGATATTTTGGTTTTTTATTAATAAAAACAAATATTAAGTAGTTCCATTTTACTTTCAAGTAGTTTTTTGGTGGAGGAGTTTCGAAAGTTGATAAAATTTGTCCCCATTTTGAAAGAGTGAGGGGTGTACAACAAAGTCACTGAGTAAAAGTAATCACATTTACGGAAGGATGGCTTCAGATACCCGAGTCTCAGCCCACAAGACTTGAACATATAGAATATTTGTCATTATATATACAATATATATAAAATATTATGTATTATACATCACGTATACAATATATATGTGTATCTACCATATATACGGCATGCACACACACACGCAGAGATTGGAAAGGGGCACTAGTCCCTTCTCCCACCCTGAATTTTAACAAGGTATGTAGATGTGTATCCCCTGTACGCAAACGTCTGTTGAGGATACTGTGTTAGGTACACTGCATTAACAACCCAGGTAGATAACTTTTCCTACAGGAAAGGGGGAACTCTAGGTCCTTTCAGAGGGCTGAGCTTGGAGCCACGTCTACCCCTGAGCTTGCAGGTGGCTTGTTGCACTCACCATCCGCGTCAAAGCGCTGCCAGACCTCCCAGAAGCCAGCGGCGTCCAAGAGCCCCGGAGTCGGGCCGCGGGCGCTGTCCATGGTGCTGACAACGACGACGGGGCACCTGCGCGGAAGGCCCTGAGCAACTTTGGCACGGACTCCTCTGCAGTATTTCTCGACTCCCTCTCCTGCTGCTTTCGCTGTCTGATTAGCTTTGAGCACCTGTCGCTGAAAAGGATGCGAGGGCTGCTGGCCGTGGCGTTGCTGAGCCGTCCCTCAGCCCTCAACAAAACCAGCTACTCGATGCCCGCCCCGCTCCTGGCGCGCGGGTCCCCGCCCCGCCCAGCGCGCCGTCCTGGCAGATCCTGTCTGTCTCTGCGCTGTGGGGGATTCAGGAAGAAAGAAACTGTCTCCAGGCGTCCACGGCTCACTGCTTTTGCCCTTTAACTTGTTTGTCAGACTCAGAGAAGACATCCCTGTTACGCTTGACTCACCTTCCAAACTTGTGTCTCAGGGGGTTTTCTAGGGAGAGCTGCCTCATTTAAAGGGTTGCAAGAAGTGTGAGTGTCAGGGCCCTTTGGACTTGAAGACTTAGAAATGTAATGTGTGGGGAGGGGAGGGGAAGAGAGGGGAGAAGGATGGTGATGGCGGTAAGTGGTTGCCTTTAAGCAAGGGGTAAGTCAATAGCAATTATTGAATCCTGATGGTATAGGACATACACCTTGATATACCATAAGGCACTATAAGGAATTGGAACTAAACAGATACTGCAGGTCACTGTGATTTAAAGTAGCATCATTAGAATGCTAAGCGAAATATAAACTAAGCCATACTCTGCCAGGAAAACAGAGTCTAAGGGAGATGTGCCTGGCTGCAGGGTACTTAGGTAGACCGTTTAAATGATTGTGTTTGGCTCCTAAGAGCCACATTAAAATCAAAGGATAAAAATCAGCTGCAGGAACACAGAGCTTTCTAATATTCAGGACTTCAAAATTTGGCAATGCTTTCTGAAAAAAATGTACAAACTACACTGATACCTTTTGACTATATGCCTAGAACCTCTTGTTGGATAATCTATAGAAAGTGCTTGGATATTAGATAAGAAATTTGAACCAGATGTAGATCTTGTTTATGGTACCCTGACTCTGGCATTAGCATTCAGACTGATTTACAAAAAGCACACATGCATAAGTCATCTAAACCAGAGTAGTGAAAAGAACATGGCACTCATGGTCAGATAGTCCTGGGTCAGGATCCCAGTTCCAGCTTTGTGACCTGCACCATTAACTGTCATCTCCCCAAACCACAATTTTCTTATCTATAAAATGAGGATTATAACAACTGTTTTGGAAGATCAGAGCCATGCATAGTAATGCACAATGAATTATAGCTGCTATGGTGTTGTAGATGATGAGGGCTGACTCTATTACAGAAAACAAGTAAAGTCTAAGGGATTGTCATAGCCAAAAGAAACCTAATGAGACATGATAAAGAAATTTAATGTTCTACCCTGGATGGGATGATGGAACAGAAGAAGGCCATTAGATAAAACATTAAGAAAATTTGAATAAATAAGGACTTGAGTTAATAACAATGAAAAAATGGTTTAGAAGAAAACAGTTCTGTACTGAGACCAGCTCGGCCATAGAGTCCGCCACCCAGGTGGTGCTGAAGGTATTGAGAAGCAGACACCCAGAGAGAACAGCAAAGTGGAACCATTCAGGGACCAACAGCCTTCCGAGCTGAGCCCCAGTGGCTGACGGTATTCCGCCAGGCTGAGGGCCCCAAGCAGATTCTGACCCATGTAGTCATTCTCTCTGAACAGGTGATTATTATTAACAAACAGGTGTTCTGTGTTTTCTCATAGAACCAAAATAAACTAGGTAGGCAGCTGGTGCCTGCTTACCACTGATCAAGGACAGACCAGAAAGTATTCTCCATGAGGGAGCCACGGGGGCAGGTCACATATCCCATGCTTAAAGAATTGTTTTAACCAGTGTATGGTATACATATACTGTTTTGCTGCTTTAGAATGCCCCAAGCTGTTTTCCACTTGCGTGGGGGAGGCTGGGTTTTCCTTGCCATCATTCTCAGCTAACAATATATTTTATCATAGACTCAGCATTTCTCAGCAGCTCTGGGTTCAGGGCCCAGCTTTGCCTGTTACTAGCTGTGTGTAATATTGGGCAAGTTACTCAAAAGAAGCTTCACTTTCTTTGACTGTAAAATGGGAATGATAGTAGTATTTACCTTGTGTTATCATAAAGGTCAAACAAAAAAATCATATAAACCTATTGTATACACAGTAACGCTCAGCATAAGTTAGCTACCAAAATGATGAATCTTCCCTACATACATATTTGGAAGATGGTGAGGTAAACTTCAGGATTTCTGAGGAGTGTGGCTTAGGCTAAAAGAGGAAAAACAATATCACTGATGAAGCAAGTGCTGGGTACAAAAACTGGAGAAAAGCATATGTAGCAAAGGAGGGCGAAAGAGTTCAGTATCCGTAATTATCATCTGTGACTTTGGGAAATTATTGGATACAATGTCAAGCACCAGTTAGGAAAAGTAATTGGTATGAACTTACCAGGGCTGATCTTGTTTTCTGGTAAACAGTGGAAAAAGATAAAAACAAGGCAGATTTCAGAAGTAATAATCAAGATCTAATGTGGAGGGATAAATCATAGTAAATCTCTGCGATGGGCTTTGTGGCATACACAGAAATCTTGATTTTGAAGATTGGTTATCCAGAAAAATTCTCAAAACATAAGATTAAGATTAAAAAGCAAGTTACAAAAGTATACATATATCATGACTCAGTTCTGCAAAATAAAATACATGTTTCTATGCAGAGAAAACATGGAAGATATACACTAATGACATTAATGATATGTTTCTCTGGAGTGGGGAAGAGGGAGGCCCACAGATGATTTTAATTTTGCTATTTGTAATTCTTTTATCTTAAAACTTTGTGCAGTAAGCATATAATGCAAGCTATTATACTTTTTTAAGCTGTGAAAGTTAAATCTAGGGGAAGAAGAAGAAAAGTACAGCCACAAAGATTACTGTTCTTAGGACTGGAGAACAAACAGAGGTTGCAGCACTTTCCAAGAGCCTGTCATCTGGAGCTCTCTGGGGGGCTGCAATCGCCATTCAAAGATCTATTTCCTGTTTTCTTCGCATCCAAATATTTATCATGGCACTAGGTAGATACTGCTTAGGTATCCTGCATTCCCTCATATAAAGTTTTCTCTTTGAGAAAATCATCCAAGCCCTTAACAGGGAAGAGAGCCAGTAGGAAGGTATTTAAAGATCTTGTATCAGGAAGGAGACACCTCTAAGATCGCCTCGTTGGAAAAGTCTTCCTACCTAAAAATGGAGATAGGTATGGAGATAGGGACGAAAGAACCAGAGGCGGTTATCAGAGCCCCTTCCTGTCCAAAAAGAGAACTTCAGCAGCCGGAATCAACTTGAAATACAGTATGCATCTTATGGATTAATTAGCACCTTCCACAGAGATTCTGATTTAAATGGTCTGGAGTAAGACCTCTACATTGATTTTTTTTTTTTTTAAGAGTTCCCTTAGGGATTACATTAGAACCACTGATTAACCTTTTGTCTGTAAGTTTTCTGCTGCTCATATTTTGGTCATTTTATTATTTGGGTATGGCATCTCTGAAGGATAATCGAGAAAAGCGAAAAACTTCTAAAGAATTAACATTATTTTCTTATTAATACACTGTCTCTTTCACAAAAAAGGTTAGAATTTATATTTATATGTCATTCTGGTAAGTTTTGACAATTGATGGCTGAAACTAGAGATTAAAATGAGTTGTTTTTCTTTTTTTCCCTCCTGATTTCATTTTCTCCTGCAATCATTTCCTGCTTTTCTCATTAGCATAGCTAATTGATGGTTAGTTGCACAAGCAGCAGCAGTGGTCTATAATTTGAAGCATTGCTAATTAACCGTGATGCATGCATTCAGTTCTACGAAAATATCTCCATCCTTTTACAAATTCAGAATGATATTTCTAACTGGAAAAATAAACAATGCTCATCTTCCAATAGTTATTGAACATTCAAGCATCGTAGACACCCCATAGACTGTACAGTAGACCTTAGAATTCAAAAAGACAGCCTTGGTTTAATGCCACACCTGTTCCAAAGGGCTGTGCAAGCGGAACAAAAGAAGCTGGAGAATGCTTTTCATGAGAAAACAGGAAAACACTAGAAATAGAGTTAACACGTTTAAAATATATACATCTTATTGTTTCCTTTGCAATCACATGAATAGTACAGATAAACAATAAAGAAAAACTTCTCCATAATTTTAACAGCTAGCAATAACGAGCAATAATGAGTTTATGTGCTTTCAGCAATTTTTTATATGCACAAAAAGTAGACTACACTGCTCTGCAACTTGCTCATGTCACTTAATATTATGAAGCATGTCATTAAATATTCTTCTGTGGTATTATTTTAATGCTGGTATTATCATCATTTCACTAATGTCCTCTTTTTAGACTTTTTAATTGTCCCTAGGTTTTTACTATCATGAATCTCTGCTGTTACAGCTAAATGTTTGCAAGCTCTAGTAATTATTTCTTTGGGATAAAGTTCTAAATGCACAACTGCTGGGCTAAAAAAATGTATAACATTTTAAGTCTTCAGTAACATATGGTTAAAAATGGCCACCGTCTGAATTTTACTGATTTATACTGCTATTAGCAGTGGAAGAGATACCTTCTTACACCATTTTTAACAACAAAAATAAAAAATCTTCGAATAGTTTATAATAGTTAATAACGATTTTATGGTGATTGTTTGGGATAGTTTAGGAGTTTTTAAGAGTTAGGCTATGTGTTAAAGTTGAAGCCTACCACTGTCAAATGGCTCTTCAAAATCTCTTGTCCTCTCTGCCTTTCCTACCCCGCAGAACACAGCATCTGCACAGTGTCCTGCAAACAGCAGCTATTTAGTATTCTATATCACCCCAATGACAGCATCTTTTCTTAACGAGCTGACATCACTAAATTATGGAAGAAGACTTCTATAACCTATGCTAAAGCACAAAAGCAGTTCTTTAAAAGCTCTAGGTCTATTAGAATAAGTTCAAACTGTAAATATTTTTCCAGCCACTTACACAGCCATCTTCTTACAAACTTAGTAATACAAATACATAGCGTAGCTTTTTATTTTCTTCCTTATCTTTTCCCCTTCTGGGTCTACATTCCTAAATTACACAGATGTTTTACCTCAGCACCAAGTCTGATACATAGCACTTACTAAACTAATGGTAGGCATAGCTAAATCTAGGTATCTACACAGAATAAGGAGATTATATTTATTTCCCAAATAGCTTGTAAATTTTGCTTACAAAATGTTGATACATTAATAATCATTTCATTTTAACTTAGTTATGTATGTCCTTGTTAATTTGTAGCTTTTAAAAATATAATAATTTCAAAGCTATAAATTTCCCTCCAAGTAAGGCTTAAGAGGCATCCTATGAGTTTTAATTATAGTTTATATCTGAATCCCACTGTGATTTTCCTTGGTCCATAAGTTAAAATGTTTCCTAA